TGCAAACAAAAGAAAAAGTCAAAATACAATTAAAAGTTAAGCTTCTGCATCACACGGGAGAGAACCCTAACACAATTTGTGCATTGTTCTGCATTTTCCCTGCCACTCCCCATTCTCATGCATGGGTTGTGTTGTATGGCTTGGTACAGATACAGAGAGATGTGTTGTTCATGCCCTGCAATTACCAGAACCCCCCAGTCTCCAAGAGATAGTCCCAGCACCTGCATTATCTGCAGGCTGCTAAAGGTCCTGGGGGTGATGAGCAAAGTCAGAGCTTGAAGATGCCTCAGACTGTGGCACGCAGTTCAGAAAGGAGTGTCTATAGCTAGAAATAAGTAGATGTGTGCTGTCACTGGACCAGCTCAAGAGCCTGAAGCCCCCAGACATACTTCCCTTCCTGCTTGGGGTTCATTGCTGGTTAATGCAATGACAGAACACATAAGCAGACTATGGTTACCCATGTCACCTAAAAAGACCTTGCTGCAGTAAGTTGTGCAAGCAGGAAAAAAATAACCAGGCTAATAAATTCCGCTCAGGTAATTAGAAATCCTAGGAAAAACAAAATCCACAACAAGACTGGTAATCCTCTAAAGGAACCTGGACTTGGACACATATGACCTCACTGGTTTCCCTCACATGGATTTGATCCTTCAATCCAAAAAGTTCATCTCTGATGGTAAAATCATGGGCTTGGAGAACTGCCATTACCATGGAGTTCCCTTGGTGAGGTGTAGGAATACCTGTTGTGAGAGGAATGGGATAAGTTGACTTCTGTGTTCTATCTGTAGATTCTGTGTTCTGTAGATTCTGTAGATTCTCTACAGTCAGGTAATAAGCTCTAAAACTTGAAATCTCTGACACACTTATAGGAGTCAGCCAAAGCCATGCATCAAGTCAACATCAGAATGAAAAAATAAAAAAAGTTTCTGAATCACAATCACATGGTTTTCTACTTTAGCAAAACTTTGAAACATGAAACTCACAGGACTAATGAAATAGTGCTACCCTCCCCCTTGTGAACAGTCAAGAAATTAAACTTTTCATATGAATTGATGTATCATAGTTGATAAAGTAACACAGAGCTAGGATGACTGTGAACTTATGTTCCAGGTTAGATCCAGCAAAACCTTTCACCAGGTGATTCTTGAGAACAAGGAATGGCTCCACTGGAGACAATGGGCTTAAGGATATACATAAGTGGTTTACTTGATCCAAGCCTGAAGATCTATTTTGAAGGCTGCAGAAGTTAATAGGAGTTTTACAGCTTTCCTCAGAAGGCTTTAAACCTATTTAAGCTAAAGATTGTATTTCCAACATACAGGAGGTTTAGTTATCTATGTGATTTATGTGCAAATATTTACCTGCATGGTAAATAAATTCTATTGAATCAGGAGTGAACTTAGCAAAAAACTTATTCTCTCATCTAGTATTATTCCACCATGAGGACAGCAGCTCTCTGGCTGTTCAGGATCTGAAAGGGAAAGCTTTTTTGATAGAAAGTAAGAACAATGAATCATAGAATGGTTTGAGTTGAAAGTGACCTTAAAGATCATATAGTTCCACCCCCACCTCTGCCATGGGCAGGGACACCTTCTACTAGACTAGGTTGCTCAAAGCCCCATCCAGCCTGGCCTTGAACACTTCCAGGGGTGGGGCATCCACAACTTCTCTGGGCAACCTATTCCAGTGTCTCACCACCCTTATTTCTTCATAATATCTGTCCTAAATCTGCCCTCTCTCAGTTTAGCACCATTACCCCTCATCCTATCACTGCTCTCCCTATCTTTCCTGTAGTCCCCCATTAAGTACTGGAAGGCTGCTATAAGATTTCTCCAGGGCCTTCTCTTCTTTATTTGCTGCAGGTTGACTACTGCTGGAGATTATACGTCAGTCTTGATACAGAGAAATGGCCTTTCCTGACCACAATAGTGAAAATCTAGTCAGACAGATTATAGTATGATGTTTCTCTCCAAGAACATTATTCTAAACTCTTGCTTATACTCCAGAGTTACTTAACAGTAATGAATTTAAATTAGTTTTAAACCAGTGCAAAAACATTTAGTTGCACTTTAAATGAATCTCTGTAGCAGTTTAGCTGAGAGGGAATTTACTTAAACTCCTGTTACTAAACTGCTCGTTAAACCTAATGCTTGGTGTAAATCAACAAAAAGTTTACATTTAAAATAAAATAAGAACATTCACTAGGTTTTACATCAATTTAACTAGAAGGTTTTTAAATAACCTGGAAGTAAAACCAGATGGATGAGGTTTTCTTTTTTTCTCCAGCTCTAAAAATATACTCGATGAATTGCCTGGTAACAGTAGATTACCTTAAACTGCAAGTTGCTGGCAGGTCATGAAACAAGATTTTGTGGACAACACAAGGGTAAATGGCATCACCTTCCATCACTGCAAAACCACCTGCCCTTTAGAAGGTCCTAGAAATGTGCTTCTAACCAATAAAAAAATAATAGCTGGACAGGATAACCTTTTCAGAGATTTCTTCAGGTGTCAACACTTAAAAAAAAAGTCTTTCTGAGAAGCTTAAAAAGACCAGACATGTTTAGCAGCATTCAGTTGGGAAACTAGGGAAGTTCTTAGTATGAAATTCTTGCAGCTGTTCTACCAACAAAGCCTTAAAAATGTTATCTACTTGTAGTCTTGTGTTCAGAAAAGGCACATCTTCAACATTGTTTTCATAATCCAGATACTAACTTCATAGAAATATTGAAAATTATCAGAAATGGCAGAGCTGATCACAAGGATAGTACACTTTTCATGGGAGAGCTTGTCAGGCAGTTTTGGCCTCTCCTCATACTACATGACAACTGGTGACAAGCAAATTAGTGCAGTGCTATGGAAGCAATCATTCTTGGAAAAAAAGTGTATCCTGAGGCAGGAGGTTCAAAGGCACACAGGAGCGTCAGCTGACCAGCAGACAATCCACAGCACAGCTGGCAGAGCTCCGGCATCTTTGTCAAGAAATCACTGGCAGAAGAATAAGGTGTTCTGCCTAACAAGCACTTTGAAAGCAAAACCAGTCTTGCTTTGAGGTCTCTATCAAAAAACCACAAAAGGATTGGCAGAAAATTTCCTGTCAAGCCCAAGGTGACTTGGTGTTAGCAAAGCCTGTGCACATGGTAGATAAAAGGAAGGGAACTATTTTTAAAGTGGTGCAAGACATAGGTCGGTGCACATCAAGTATAGTTTCTGTACATTTGTATGAAAGCTTTATATCATAAGATTTGGGAGAAAATATACAATCATTGCTGATAAGACTTTCCAAACAATGCTTAATATGTCAAATGAGGACTAAATCTTAATAGTGAAATAAACTGTGCTTACTTAGTTAATTTTAAAAAAATTTTGGAGGAATTTTTAAAAACTCTGTAAAGCATAAAATTTGTATTAACAACAGCATCCCTGAGAAGAATTTAGGGATGGAAAGCAAAAGTTTTCTATCTAAAACAATATGGGGCTTAAGACAGAGGATGAGATGCCTGGATATATATACAGGAAATGTTCTTAGTATCCAAGGTCATTTCCACAACACTTACAAGCTTTTATACTTTGTTCTATATTCAGATTTGAAAAGAGATACTGTCAGGTTGGAGGCTGTTCAGAAATGGGTTGCAAGAATGGAAGTAAATCTGTGTTACAGAACTGAAGACAAAAAGTGCTGTGCTCACCTGAGAAAGGTTGTAAGCTGACTGGACGCTCTGTAAACACAGACAAGAGGAAGACTTTTACGATGAAGTACAATAATCTAGTATGCCAGAAGCAAAGGATGAGAAAGGATATTTATTGAATTCTCTCAATGAAAACATGAATATCATGAAATGTAACTTTTAAAATGTAATGATTATATCAGAAAAAAAAAGCAGGTATATAGTCTGAAAACTGAATACTTAGTAACTTTTCATTAATTATGTATTTCTTACTAAAGGATTATCAAACCTCAATAGACTTCAACTTCAGCATTTTCTTTAGGGAGGTCATGGAATTATGTTGTGATGCACTTAGATTTATTTTGCTGAATTTTTGGGGTTGAATTGTTATTAGGACTCAGCAATACATCGTGCATGGGGAAAAAGGATGACAACTTTTCTTGCCACCATTCCAAAGTATATAACTCTGTATTTAATTTACTCAAAAAAAAAAAAAAAAAAAAAAAAGCCCTAAATGATTTAACTTGTAGTACAGCCAAATTTCTTGGATTTCTATATTCAAAGTTTCTAAATTTTAAAACCATGTGCTAATTATCCTGTAGCAGATGATAAGTGCCCCTTAGGGATGACTTTCAAATTGCTTGGAAGCATCTGCAACAAAGTATTTTTTAAATATAGGTAGGGTCACACTCTGGTATTTCTTTCTGAAAAGATATTGCAGGAACAAGACAAAGCAGAATACTTGATTAGCACTCTGAAATTTATCACTTCCTGTGAAAGTTTTGCACATATAAAAGTGATCATATACTCCATCATGGTTTTTCAAGTTCAAAACCTGAATACTCCCACAGGAGTAATAGCAGGCTTCTGATTTGAGAGGAAATTTTTATTTTGGTTGAGGAGAAAAAGAAATGTTGTAATTTGATCCAACTTTGATTAAGGTCTCAGTGTTAAGAGGTTTTAATACTGGTAATGGCCAAGTACCTTCAGTTGGTTATCTTCCAGTGCACACTGCAGCATTAAACATGAGTTTGCAAACATCTAGCAAAAGCTCCCATTGCTATTAATACCTAGTTCACTACTCTCAGCATATTCCAGGCAGAAACTATTTAGCATACATTCCTGCCACAGCCAAAACTCACCTAGCCATATAATACTGCCTACAGCTTAGCTATCACTACTTGTGTTTCATCAGAAAGGCATTTTTTCTAATCATAATGCTTCCAAGGAATGCAAAGTTCTGGACTCAGCAGTTTACTCAGGTCAGTGCTCTACAGAATCAAACATTTTCTCATTGCCAGCTGGCAAAATTTCAGTGATTTCTTCAGATATTTCAACATAACTGCATTTGAGTTGAGCAGGCCCTTTTTTCCCCATCTAGACTTGAACTGCACAACATAAAGGCACCAAAAATTATTTGCTCTCTGGTTCCACATCAAGCACTTCAGATTTCTTCTGGAGGCCTGGAACTCTTTGGAAGCCAAGGGCTCCACAATGGTAAGTCTAAGGTTTAGATTTTTCCAGGGGATACAGATTGGTATGTGCTTTAAAACTGCAAAAGGAGAATATTTAAGAGAAAAAATTAGTTACATATTTCAACTGTGGACATACTGTATTTTAAAACTGCAGGATGTAAAGGAAGTAAGACACCTTTGGGAAGATTACTGTGAATTTTCTTCTTTGCATTTGAATTCTTTGCAGGAAACTGTACAGATTAGTCATTCACTTGCTGTTAACCTGTCCTCAGAAAAGGTTGTGAAATCATTCAGAATTCTGTAAACCTTTAGGACCATGCTTTTAAAACCCATAAATGTGAAATAAAGTTTAAACTATAGTGGTTTTATAATGAAAGAAATGTATATTTTGTCTGTATATCCTGTCTGCTCTTTTCTTTTCATCTCTCAAGTTGTGTAGTGTTTTCAGCTCTTCAAGCCTCCAAATGTGTTTGCAGAATCTGAATCAACAGTTAGGTTGGGGTAAACAGATGGACAAAGTTTCTGGCCCAGTTTTCCTCTAATTTGTGCTCACGTAATCCCTAAGGTATAGTCATCAATTACTACCTTTGGTGAGAATCTCAGGAATGGCATAAGTTCTACAAAAGAAGAAGTACTTTCTACGAGACATGCTGATTCATGCATTTTCTTTGCTTTCTCTGCTTAAGCTTTGCTGCTAAATTTCTGTTGCTTATCTGACACATCCTTTGGTTGTTGTAGCAGGAAGTCAGTTGAGACACTGACTGAACAGCACAGACTTCCCCCTATATCTCTGCATAGATTCAGTGCAAGTTCCAAAACGCTGATCTTTAGAAAGAGGAGCATGTCTGAGCTCATCTGACTGGCATTTCTAGGAATAGCACGATAAGGACAAATGTTGGAACAAAGGAGAAAACACTAACAGAAGACAGCACAGCAAAAGAAGGGTTTTAGTATTTTCCACAAAGACATGAGGGATGTGTCATGGCACCGTATGTGCTGTTGCAAACTGCTGATCCACTGTGGAAGAAAGCCACCACCAAACTCCAGCTGCATATCTAAGGTACAGCAAACAGCATCCCAAGCATGTTGAGATCCTGTGTGGAAAGCCACTATTCCCTGCCCTCCCACAGCCTGGAGCAGCTGCACAGCAGCACAGAGAGCCCCACAGCTTCATGCCAAATGCACAGGGTGCCTCAATAGAGTCCAGCTGCAAACTGTCATCCTACAGCTTCATGGAACAGGAGCTGCTTAGACACTTTCCTCTGGCCAGGCACACAGAGTAGCACAGTTGAAGAGTTTGAGTTTCTCTTCTTAACTTCTCTCATTCTGGCAGTGGTGCTCAGCATGGCAACTGCCTCTATTGTAGCCTAAAGCCTCAGGAACTCCCAGTCACAGAACCACTGGGGAAATGAAACATAACACCCTTCCCAGACCACTCCATAAACCCTCCTCCTCCCTTTCACTACACCAGAAATGTCATTCACCCCATAAGAAAGCAGCACATCAAGGATTAAAATACCAAGTTTTTTCCACAGCAGCCAGAGGAGTTTTACCTTGGCTCACCATCTGCCTAAGGTTCACGACATTTCAGTGTCTCTTGGCATTTGTGATTCAAGCAACTCAAGGTAGACAGCAGAGCTGCCTAAACCCAAAGCCTCTCCCTGCTATTTTAAGCTCCATTTTCAAGCAACCACAGCCTCTGAAGTTCAGAACAGTAACTTGGAAAGATCTACTTGTTTTAAAATCCATTCCTGTTAGCCTGCAAGTGCTATCAAGGAAATCTAACTTCCTCCATTGCTTCTTGTTCTTTGGCCATTCCTAAACTTTTGCCTTAAGTTATCCTCCAGCTGGAGCAAGCCATCAGAATAACCCTGTGCTCTCTCATGCTCCTCCAGTCCCTCTGCCCCAGAATAACCATCATTACAAAGTTACACAGGCTTTTTCAAAAGAAGGCTGGTTGTTCAGCAGGTCCCAGAGGACATACCTGAAGAACTCTTACAGATGTTTAGCTGTTGCCACCACTACTCAAAAGGAAGTGTGTCCTGTGACAAGTCCAAACCTGTGTCTGTGGTTTAACAAGATGGTTCAGGTGAAGCTGAGCACAATGTACCACACTCAGATATTGTCCTTAGACAATGTATCTCTCTTCTGTACCCAGCCACCAATTTCAAAAAACCTACTGGAATATAATCAGGTCTGAGATTTCCACTCCTCCACTAAAACTGAAGAAACTGCTGTACCCCAAACTGAAGCACTGGGATGCTACACAGACAGTGATTTGCTGGAGAAATAGCTAAAGCTGAGTCAAACGCAATAAATAAATAAAGCACAGATAAAGGTCTGATGGGATTTTCAAGTGTGTAATACTATTGAAGCTTTTTTGTGATTTCTAGAGATTGGACTTAGGCAGTGAGTGATGCTGCTAGCACAACTATGTCATATCATTTTGTATCTTGCCATGTAAAGGAAAAAATTATCAATGAAGTGAAATACCTGGAGTGTCTTTTCCCACTATTTTCATATCCACATAAGGTTATTTGTCATTTTGGTTCAGGTTCAGTGACAGCTTTTGAAAATGGAGATAATCAATGTGGAATGAAAGTCATGCCATGGGCTCTATGTTTCTTTTACAGAAGAGCTTTCTGGCTTTCCTTGTTGCAATGGGCATCATCGTGGCCCTGGGTGATGCATACTGCCTTAATAAACGTCAAAGGCCTGGAGAGGTCTACAGAGGTAAGAACAGAGAAGGTTCTCTCCCTTGATCGCTCTGTGGTAGCTTGGGGGAAGATGTGAGAAAGACATGAATAGGGGGTTCCAGCATGAAGTTCCAAAAACAGGTGTAAAACAAAGTTTCGCCCTGGACTGAGTGTGGCTGCAGCAATATTAGTGCTATTGGTGCTAGGTGGCCATTGCTTCTGCAGCACATGGAGCTGATGCAGGAGTTGAGGAAGTAGAAACCAAGAGAACAAAATTACTTGTAATTTAATATTGCTCAAAGAAATATTTTCAGAAAAGTTGAAATAATTTTTAAAATTTTCAGCCTTTAGGTGGAGACTTAAAGAACGTGTTCTGTTTTGCTGCTGTCTTATGTAGGCTGTAGGATGAATGGAAAACTGTACCCTCTGGGACACATTGAGAGGACAGAAGATTGCCACAGATGCAGCTGCAGTCGAACTCAAATGACCTGCTGCTCAATGTAAGTTTGAACTTCTTGGTACCATCACTGCCCATAGGACAAGCACAGCTTTCCATTTGCTGGGGATAAATGAGTTTCTAAGAGCACAAGGGAGCCTTTTTTTGCCCACATCACAGAGCAAGTGAAAGCCACATGGAGCTCTAGACCATTTGGATCCTTAGCTGTGTATACCTTGGCTCATTTCCTGCTGACTAGGAGTGGACACAGAGCCTTCCAGGCACATCCAGGTGGTGCTTGCCTTGAATTTTCTAGGAGCTTGTGAACCCCTCTGCCACTGCAGTTAAATCTTTCCTTAGCTGAGAAAGAGAGGGTAGGATGGAATTTACAAAAGAATTACTTTCACGAATTACTTCAGCAAAATTCCTCTACAGTGCGTATGCTGATTTTAACCCCTTTCTGAAGGTGCTTGTCTCCAGTGAAAATACTGACCCTAGGATGACAAGGCTCTGCTCTGAAGTATCTCTCCAACATCCTCCTTTCCTCTCATCCTGACTTCTCAAAGGACCAAAATGGCTTGATATTGACCTTAGCCTTTGTTTAGGTGACAATCAGTCTATGAGGAAACAGCTACTGCCATCTAAGCAAATTGGAAAAAATGGAAGCTTAATGGAAAAAAGAGAAAACATGCCAAGCTCATGCTTATGGCAGACTGTAGAGTGCAGTGCTAGAAATCCCCATGCTGGTGCTGAGCATCCTGATACATGCCCACAGCACAGTGCAGCAAGGCATCATTTGAGGCCCTGGGAGCTGCAGCTGTGTTGCACTCAGGGTAACTCAGCTGGTCTTAGCCATAGTTTCAGAGATGTCTCACTCAGCAATAGTTCAAGCTATAATCAATGAAGTATTGAAACTTCTATTGCTGTCAAGCTAACATTTGCCTTCTTCTTGCCAATGACAGATTTTTTATTCCTGTTGCTTACGACAAAGAGAACTGTAAAGTTGTTTTAAACAGAAAAAGCTGTAACTATGATGTGGTGTACAAGAACGACCCCTCAAAGCAGTGTCCTGTAGTTACACGTGTGGGCTAACACCTGCTCCAAATCTCTTCACTGTGGAATTCCTCCCCTTCCTACACCTGCTTTGCCATCACAGAGAAGTACAATGACATGGGAAATCTCATAGGAAACAGGACTTCAGTAGCTCACTTCTAATTTCCTACTTGCTCTAATTCAGCATACAAGATGCCTAATCACATACAATGTCTTCTTTATGTAAGATTTGCTTGGGTGTTGCTAAGTTCTTTTGACTACAATAAATCCAGATGAAACATCCCTCAGTGCTTCATATTGATGTTTCTTTTCCTGCAGTGAGATGGGGCAGTGTCACCTTCTTTGAGAAAGGGATGCCTTTGCCTCACTCCTCTGACCGGTACCTCACTGCTCTGCACCGGTACCCTGGCACAAGCCACTTTCACACTTCTCAGGTTCTGCTCTAGCCAGGTGTCAAAATCCATTCTCATTTGCAAGGGATGCACTGACTGGGACATGCTGTACAGTGGCTCCTACTCAGGGCACACGGGACACACCTGAACTGCTGTAGGAGTTTTGCTAACTCCTTCTGTGCTGCTAACACTTGGCTGCTAACATGGCAGCAGAGCCTGAAGCACTAATAAAAGCAAGTGCCTTTTATTAGTGTAAGAATTCTCTACATTCCCTGGGGAGTGAATTCCAGCTTCAAAATCAAATCTCCCACCTCGCAATAGGTAATATCCTAACTCTGCCCACATATAAGACACCAGACAACAATACCCTGCAAAATGCTGCTTTTATATGGGCTCTTTGCTTTAAAAAATGAGTAGTAAACCCCCACACCAACCTGTTGTTAATTCTTCTATGGTTTGAAAAGAAAACTACCTTGCAAAACAAGTGGACTGTTTAATCAAGCTCTATGATCATAAGTCCGTTGTCTTGTAAAAGCAGGAGATTACACACAGCTGAGCATTCTTAGGGCAGGGATCCTCACTGGTCCTAAATGACTTTTTCCCTTTTCTGACATTTCATGTAAAAATTACAGAGAACACAGCCTCAACTGATTCACTTGAAGGAATGTTCTCACAGAACAAACAGCTGCAGCTTCTCACTAGGGGAAGTAATATTTTGAGCTTGGTGATCCAAAGCCTTCCTACCTAAATAGCTCAACGGAACTGTTTCTAGAGCAAATTTGGTTTTCATATTTATGGTTTTTTTTAATTCTGGTTTTCAAAATAAAATGTTTTATGAAGAACAAAACTTACTTGGAGATTCCTCATGGATTATTTTTAATTTGAACCACTGAGAAGTGCACATGTCAGCTTATTGAAGTCTGGAACTATGCCATGTGATACTGAAATTATTTCAGGATTACAAGTTTTTCCCTACCAAGGTCTTATGAATTAAAGGCTACATTTTTCTTCTAAACCTTACAAAAATAAGTCTATTTTCTCATAAATTCACCATCATACTCTTAATATTAGTGGTTAAAACTTTATGTTTTAAGTGATTTATAGATGCTTAGTTAATTTTTAAATTAGATCTCATTTTATTATACTTGTCTCCTTATTTGGACCTTCATTGATTTATTTTTAATTCAGAGCTTTATCACCTCTAGGGTCCCAAGAGTTTCAGTAGCATCTGGGTGCCCACTTTCTTATAGATGAAGACAACTTTCTTGGTGCAAGGAGATTTCTGATTTGCTGACAGCAAGCAGGTTATGGGACTGGGAAGAACCAACATATTTGACTACTGTGATGAGCACATCCTGCCAGAAGTTATCTGTGGGTGGTGAAACCCATTTCCCCTGCAGGGGCACCACCTCCACCCACATGTACTTGAAGCCAAATCTAAACCAGCTCAGCACAAACAAGAGCTGACACTGGGGAAGGAAGAAAAAAATGAATTCTGGTGGGCTTTCCAGGCCAGGGAAGTGTAGAGACTTGCCCTAAGGCTCCAGAGTTATTTGTGATTCAATGTGCAGTATATTGGTTTTTCTATTGCCAGGAGAGTGGGCATACTGAAACTGCCTTTTTTTTTTTTTTTAATTTTTTTCCCCCCTCTAAATAAAACAGTTTTAGCGCTGAGGGTCAGGAGTCTTGAATCATTCTTGCTATAAACTGGAAAGCCTGTCTACTGAGAGAGGAAATACTCAACAGCATTGCCATAGGTACTTTTCATTATTTTTGGTTTTGGCATTCATGAGAGGATAAACCTGCAGGAAAGCAGGTTGACCTATCACTCACCCTCTCTTTCGAATCCTTTTCATTGTTTGTGCACCAACAAAGATGAATGAAATACATAGGGCAGAAACATAGAGAGTTACCAGTTCTGTTTTTCATCCTTCATTGCAGAGAAAGAACAGACTCCAGGCTGCTCAGGGAATTAGTAAGTAAGGTCCCCTGGGAAAATGTTTTTGCATGTGCTCGTGTCCATCAGTGCCGGTCACATTTCAAACATCACCTCCCAAGAGCATAGAAGCAGCAATTCCCAAATATCAGAAGTCAAGCAGGGGAGGCAGAAGGCCGGCTTGGCTTAACAGGGGTCTTCTCTTGGAAATAAGGCAAAAAAGGTAGGTATATGGCTAATGGAAACAAGGTCAAGTGACATGTGAAGAATACCGAGATGCTGCTTGCTGCTGTAGGGAGAAGATCTGTGTGGCCAAAGCTCAGTTGGAGTTGAAGCTGCCGAAAATGGGGGGTGAAATAAATAGTTTTTTCAAATACACTAATGGCAATATGTAGTATAGAAATATCATCAGCCTGCTACAGGATGAGGAGGGTCACCTCCCAGCCAGGGAGAGAGACAAGGCAGAGGTGTTTAACACTTTCTTTGCCTCTTTTTTCAACAGAGATGACAGATCAAGGCAGTCTCAGTGCCCTAAGCTGGAGGACCATGACTGCAAAAACGTTAACCCTGAAATTGTGTGGGATCTGCTGCTCCAGCTGGATCCCTGCAAATCTATGGGGCCTGATGGGATTCATCCAAGAATCTTCAAAGACCTGGCTGATATCATGGCAAAACCTCTCTTGATGATTTTTGAGCAGTCTTGGGAATCTGGAGAGGTCCCAGCTGACTGGAAGCTGGAAAATGTTGTCCCAGTTTTCAAGAAGGGCAAGAAGGAGGGCCCCAGAAACTACAAGCCTGTCAGTCTCACTGCAGTGCCTGGTAAAGTTATGGAAAAGATTATTTTGGGAGGTACTGAGACATACCTGAAAGACTACAAGTCGTTGGTCACAGCCAGCATGGCTTCATGAGGGGAAAGTCCTGCTTATCAACCTGATTTCCTTTTCTGACAGGTAACCCACCTAGCTGATGGAGGGAAGCCAGCTGATGTAATCTTTCTGGATTTCAGTAAAACTTTGGATACTGTCTCTCACAGCATCCTTCTGGACAAAATGTCCAGCACACAGCTGGATAACACATCATGGGGTGGGTGAGCAATTGGCTCATGGGTCAAACACAAAGGTTAATAGTGAATGGGTAACATCAGAGTGGTGACCTGTCACTAGTGGGGTTCCACAGGGCTCCATCTTGGGCCCTGTGCTCTTCAACATCCTCATAAATGACTTGGACACAGCACTGGAAGGGATACTAAGCAGTTTGCAGGTGATACAAAACCGGGAGGAGCTGTTCACTCCCTGGAAGGCAGGGAGGCCCTGCAGAGAGACGCTGACAGATTAGAGGACTGGGCAATCCCCAACCCTATGAAGTTCAGCAAAGAAAGTGCTGGATTCTGCACCTGGGATGGGGCAACCCTGGATGTTCATACAGACTGGGGAATGAGATGCTGGAAAGCAGTGCCATGGAAAGGGACCTGGGGATCCTGGTTGAGGGCAAGCTGAATATGAGCCAGCAGTGCCCTGGCAGCCAGGAGGGACAGCCGTGTCCTGGGGGACATCAGGCACAGCATCACCAGCTGGTCAAGGGAGGGGATTGTCCTGCTCTGCTCTGCACTGGGGCAGCCTCACTTTGAATGTTGTGTGCGGTGTCGGGCACCACAATATAAAAAAGACATTAAGCTCTTAGAGAGCATCCAAAGGAGGGCAATGAAGATGGTGAAGGGCCTTGAGGGGAAGCCGTGTGAGGAGCAGCTGAGGTCACTTGGTCTGTTCAGCCTGGAGAGGAGGAGACTGAGGGGAGACCTCATTGCAGTCCACAACTTTCTTGTGAGGGGAAGAGGAGGGCAGGCACTGATCTCTTCTCTGTGGTGACCAGTGACAGAACTCGAGGGAATGGCCTGAAGTTGTGTCAGGGTAGGTTTAGGTTGGATGTTAGAAAAAGGTTCTTCACCCAGAGGGCACTGCAACAGGCTCCCCAGGGAAGTGGTCACAGCACCAAGCCCAGTAGAGTTCCAGAAGCGTTTGGATGATACTCTTGGGCACATGGTGTGACTCTTGGGGATGGTCTTGTGTAGGGCTAAGCACTGGACTCTGTGATCCTTGTGGGTTTCTTCAAACTTGCCATATTCTTTGATTCTGTTTTTATGTGAAACTAGACAAAAACTTGTTCAATTTCAGTAATATCCTCAGAAATCCCAATAGAACCTCTCCAAACCAGAAATGCTTTTGTGCTTTATTTGTTTGGAAAGACACCGGAGAATAAGATTTTGCCATTTTTATATCCACCCCTCTGGGAAACAACATAGAGGCCATACAGGAGCTCCTTAGAAACAACACATTATTGTCACAGTATGTCCAAATTTCAGATTCTTAGGATTTTATAGCACTCAGATTCAATCAGTGACATATATAGAATCAGAGCGTCATGGCAATACCACACATGTATTTAAGCTGCAACCTATTTCAAATTGTAAGGAATTACAAAAATAAAATGCTAGCTGTCATTTTGTGAAAAACATTACATGAAATCTGTTACATTTTATACTCTTTCAGGTGGTGATTGGTGCTTGCTTTCCCAAAGAGGGGGAAAGCAATTCTCCTAGCACAGGTTTGTTCTCGGTATCTGATAAATTACTTTCAAGAAGTTGTCCAAGACATTGTGGGGTTTCTACAGCAAGGTTTCCTGGGCTTGTTTCTTAACACCACTACATATTGCACACTGCCATTATGAACTAAACAGGCAAAGTGCCATTCTGGTGAAAACTGTCAGAGATACAAGCCACAACAGCTCTCTTGGTGTTCTGTTCTAGTTGCTGCCCGTCTCGAACACACAGGAAGGGTGTAAGACAAGAAATGGGAGGAAGAAGGATTTTATACATTACAGTGGAAAACAGCAGAGAACAAAAAAAGATCCCAACAGCCAAGATATCTCTTGGATTTGGCTGAAGCATTCTGTGGCTG